GAGGTCAGCAAAGGAAACTGCCCTCAGACCAGTGTCTGGTTTCGTACTTGATGCTCTAGCTGACCAACAGATGGATAGTAGCACCAAGTTTGAGCTCATTGAAGCTGTGCTGGTAAGCATTTCATATGCTCTTGAAAGATTGTACGACACTTGCTTCCACAAAAACTGCCCCATGCCAATTCCTAAACTTAACTAACCAAGCTCTTAACTTCAACCTTTGACCCAACACTTGGATGAGAGGCAGAGGTCAGCAAAGGAAACTGCCCTCAGACCAGTGTCTGGTTTCGTACTTGATGCTCTAGCTGACCAACAGATGGATAGTAGCACCAAGATTGAGCTCATTGAAGCTGTGCTGGTAAGCATTTCATATGCTCTTGAAAGATTGTACGACACTTGCTTCCACAAAAACTGCCCCATTCCAATTCTAAACTCAACTAACCAAGCTTTTAACTTCAACCTTTGCCCGACATTTAAAGTTAATACAAAGTTTTGGTATGGGGTCATGAATTTGGTTAAATGAACATATTGGAAGCATATGCGATCCTTCAATATTCAGTATTCAGTGATCATTGTCGCGGTTGAAATCGAGTCTAAAGTTATGAAATTGTAAATAATACACTCTTTATGTTGTATAGCTCCCTCTCAAGGTCAAGTTTTAAATAAGCTATAAAACAATGTTTCTTGACTAAAATCGACCGATTAGCTATTTTTGTTTGGAAACTATATATCACAACTACATATTCTGATATTTTCATGGTCGCAGCTACCATTGTACGGCCGTAGGCACTATTTGAAATTTATCAAAATTTACCGGGAGCACTGATAAATTTTTATATTTGTATTACCTTTAACCTAACCCTATTAACATTATACCTATTAAACCTAAAAGCCAATTGCAACCCTAACCTCAAACCTATTCTCAAACCTATTCTGTTGATGAAGTAAAACCAGCATCACTGTTCTGTATCATGTTTTAATCAATAATTGACTGTTCTGTCTTTGTGCATCTGTCATAGCTTAATGATAGTTGCTTTTACAATTTTTCCTTGAACTTGTACATAAAGAGAAATAAAAAAAAGACGTGAATGTCACTATCATGTAAAGGTGTTGTGGTCAAGTGGATACGTCACCGGACTGTCGATCACAAGGTCTGCGGTTTGAGTCCCGCCGCGGCACTAATGTCCTTTGGCAAGACATTGATCTACATTTGCCACACTCAACCCAGATGAGGGCAATAGGTACCTGGTAGGATTATTCCTTGGAAAATGCACTGTGCGCTAAAAACGGCTGCCGGAGCTAAAGCTAGGGTAATAATATCCAAAGCTCTTTGGAAGCTCATAGAGATGTTATTTCATAACGCATAATGCGCTATTCAAGAACTGAACTATCATTATTATTTTCTTTTTCTGGAATTTCATTTTTGTCATGTGTGGTACAGAAAGAACTTCCAGACTCCAAGCCCAGACTACTACTGGTGTTGGCAAACCCACTGATGTACTGCACGCAGTAGAGGCAGGAATAGACATATTTGATTCTTCGTATCCTTACAATTTAATGGTTACATTCTCAAGAGTTGTAGAGCCTTGCCAATGGGGTGGGAAATCCATGATTCTGAAAGAGATCTGGACCCCATTTCACAAAGCCTTTTTTCAATGACAAATGACAAAAATCAGTGACAAATCTGTTGATAACCAATCAGATAACCAGTCAAACCAAAATAATGCCTTTTACGTCATATTTCAGTCAATGCCGATGTTGGCTTGTTGTTGACATTTTTGTGTAACTTATATTACCCACAATTAGCCAGCTCTTGTATTGTTATTTTTAATTAACAGTCACCATGTTTTTTTTAAAGTGGAGCTGAATTGGTATGATCGTATTGGCTAAATTTCATACATTTTAGTGTCTAAAATTACCTTCATAACAACTTTAGGTTCTAAAAGGGCACTATAAATGTCATAGATAAGAATAAGAGCAATAACCATGCACTTTGAAGACATTCGCGGTCTGAAAACAGAACTCAACTATCCCTTTAAGTTAGACGCGTTGTTTTAAACCTGAAAGTTCTTGGAGATCCCATTGAAGCACGTTTCAATGGGATGTCGACAAACTCAGACCTGTGACTATGTGTAGAAGTTGGTCCTGTGTTACTCTTTGTCTAGGAAAGCTTTGTCCTTGACTGTTGATACCCGACAGATATCCATACCAATGACACAGCGAGGAGGCTGGGCTCTCGTGTTTCCTTGTGAAGTACCACCTGCTCATTCTCAAGTGATAGTAGATGCAGATTCTACGGGCTTGAGCCAACTTCAACAGGTCAAGGATGCTAGTGATGTTCAAGGAGAGAATGACCAAATTGATCCAAGATTTGAGTTGAATCTTTCAGAGAAAAGGTTAGAGGAATTTCTTATAATCCCTTTTTTTAATAACTTTATTTTGAATTGGAGCTGAACTCAGGTGAACTCAAAACCTGGATATAATTAGAATGAGAATATTTATTTTACATTTTGTGTCAATGGTATGAACATTTCTATTTTGTTTTACTTCTAGTTTTCTAAAACTCTTTACATTTATACCACATCCAAGCACTTTTCATTTATTCAATGTGTACAGGCGCGTACGCAGGAGGGGGGGGGGGAGTTAACCCCCCCCTTGAGTTTTTTTTATGTGTATGTTTTGTGTATGATTTTTGTGAAAACCCCCCCCTTTTGAGTTTTTTTTTTTTTTTTTTTTTTTTATTAAGAAAAAAAAGGAAAAAAATGGCCTCTAACCCCCCCCCCCACCGAGCGACTTTAGGCTGGCTGAGTCGTTGCGATTTTTTTGGACTCCAAAAGAAAAAGAAAAGTGTCCTCTTACCCCCCCTCCCCACTGAGCGACTTTTCGGCCGGCGCAATTTTCAAATTTTCTGAATTTTGGGGAACGATTTTAAACCCCCCCCCCCTTGAAAAAATCCTGCGTACGCCACTGAATGTGTATATGTTATGTAGTGTGTTTGTTGAGGACCCCCCCCCCCCCTCTTTTTTGTTGTTAGTATAGCATTAATGACTGCTTTGAGAGAAATAGTTGTTTTTATACGCTCTCGGGAAGGTTACAAATGTGCTATTGCCCGAGGCGTGCCGAGGGCAATAGCCCAATTGTAACCTTCCCGAGAGCGTATAAAAACAACTATTTCTCGAATATTAAAGCAGTCATTAATACTTTTATACCGAAAAAGAGTCAACTTACCAATCAACTGGTAGAACAGGAAGAGCAGAAATAAATAGTTGAATAACTCGTTGAATAACAGTAACAGTAGAACTCCGTAAAAACTCAGTAACTCCGTAAAAACTTTGTAACTCCGTAATATAACTCCATAAAACTCTGTAACTCTGACTGCAAGCCTATTTGTTAAAGATGTTTACTGTGCAGTTGTTAAAGTTTAATGTAGGGGCTTGCACCTGCTGACTGGAAACATGAGCATGGCTACTTGCAGTGATGTTGCATGTGCGTGGGAAGTTCTCTGGGTTATTTGTGATCTCATTCAAAATTTCATTTAGTTCCTGCAGTTCCTGGCTTTCATTACGCTGACCACCAGTGGATGTCGATGACGATGGTACTGATTTCGGATCAACAGCTGCCGTGATACTGTTCGATGACGATGGTACTGATTTTGGATCAACAGCTGCCGCGATAGCATGACTCATGTTTTCTTTTGCTATACTGCTGGTCATAGCATAATGCTTGAGACTGCTCTCCACCTTGTGTCCGGAGACACTCATGATCTCTCTGTCTCGGAACCCAGCATTTTGTAGGGTACTGATGCTGGTTGCCCTTAGGCAATGGTTGGTGTAAGCCTTGGTACCTGCATGAGATGAAATTGTTTTCATCTTGTCTCTGATGCTTTTTTTCCCTAGGGGTGCATTACAGTACCATTGATCAGAAGAAGATGGATTAAATTTCAACTCACGCTTGGCCTTTGCATTTGCCGGTCTCTGCCAAAAACTCTTACATTGTGGATTCAATTTATCTTTGTAGCGTAAGAAGGAGGCAACAGGACCATTAGTTGGACCATTGGTTGGAATCATGACACCACCTTGGCTTTTCTCTAGTTTATCTGCACAGTTGTTTTTTATGAGTGTATCTTTCAGAGTTATGGAGCATTTTCCCCCTTTATCACAAATGTCAAAGCTGTTGAGTGTCATTTCACGAAAATTCTCTCTACCCCGATTGCAAAAGTACAACATTACGTCTATAAATACTTTGTCCTGAAGACCCACAGGATCATCCAAATCAAGCGAACCTTGGATTTTATCCATGTCTTCTGCTGAGATAGCTGGTTTGTGAGTTACAACTCCCTTTCCTTCCTGTTTAAGCATTGCTGAAAAACACTTCAAAATTCTTGTCGAGTTGGAAAAATCTTCATGCTTGATGATATCTACCTTGTAACAATTGAGAAAATGACGCTGAATTCCGAATCTAATAGCTAACATTGACTTCTTCATGTAATAAGATCCGTTCTTCCGTCTAGCACCAGCGTAAAACTTTTGGAGTACATTGTCCAGCTCCGAATTTGAAAGTTTTTTTACGCTATCGAGGTCTGTGTTGAAAACTTGCAGGAAGTCACAGAATTTTTGTTGTTCTTGCTGTCAGCAGAATTAATCAAGTCTTGCATTTGATCATCATCAAGAAGTTGAAATGTTGGGAGAGTTTCTTCAGCCATTTTTGCCTTGTTTGGAATTCAGTACGATCGTTATTGTTGTACGGTCGTCTGACGTCTGCGCTGCGCTGTTTTAAAAATTGGTAAATAAAGCTAGCGACCAATTCTTCGCACACATACACGTAGGTATGGTAACCGCGATCGCTCAAACCACTTTTTAACACTGAACCAACGGGTATTTCAGCAGGACTGACCTATTTTCCCGGTAACTGGAATTTTGCCAGGATTTTACCCTAGAACTATTACATGGGTTTGGCATTTTTCATTTATTTACAGGAATAATGGTTAAAACCACGACTGCAATTTCGACCAATCAGATGGCTGGATTTCTTAAGTGAGGTATATAATGCTCACTATCGCCCCTGGGATATGCAGTTACAGAAGATCTCTTTTCCGTGTACACTAGGAGATGACACTACAGGAAGAACACTGACCAGCTCCAGGGAAGGCTTGAGAAAAATGTGTTTAAAAAGGAAAATAAAAAATAGCTTTCAATATGCAGAAACTTACTCATAAAGACTATTTACCCGTCCTGCCTGTGAGCGCTTTTTATAAACAGATTTCCCTGTACATTCTGCTTTTGATCTATCCAGGTTTGCTGAAGATTTTAGCCCAGTGTTGAATGGGTGCGACTGCTACTGCTGTACGCACCACACCAAGGCATACATCAACCATCTTCTCAATGTCAACGAACTATTAGCAAGGGTGTTACTCATGGAGTAAGTACTGAGCATGTACACTGCATACCTGCCAACATTTGAAAATAAGAATTAGGAATTTTTAGCACGATATGCCTTCGAAAATAATAAACCGCACTTGCAGCGGCAGTGTAACTGGCAATACGCGGTAAATCTTTACCAAAAAGCAAATACAAATTTGCTGCTCGATCATGCAGCCATTCAACGCACGCAATACGTGAACTCTCAAATCGCGGGACATGATAAAACAAACTTAATTTAGCTTTAGAAAACAAAAAACAAAAAATCTTAATATTCCAAATTTTCAGGTCCTAAAATTAAAAAAATCAGAATATTCTGGATTATTTGGAAGGGTTGGCAGGTATGACATTGTAAAAAGTTGGATAGAAGAGATTTTGAAGTACAGAAAATCTGCTCTTGCTTGGCAGAAGAGCATGAACATTTTTGTCAAAAGTTTGGTTAATTTACAGGCGAGTTGAAAGAATAAAGAAATAATAAGCTGAAGTATTAAAGGACCGTAGTGTATCCCTTTTTCTTCAAGATGTGACCAAAGTAAATAATTCTGATTAATTTTAAAATATCTTTTCATTTACGTGTAACTTTTGTCTCATGTTAGTCTACCACGTGGCCCTTTTTTCATGCTATTCATTGTCTCTTCTTATGTTCCTTTTCCAGCCACAACTGTCATCATTATTTTGAGTTCTTCCACTCCATCAGGACATCACTAAAAGATGGAACATTCCAGAAGCTGAAAGAAGCCATCGTCAACAACAGATGACCTCGGTAATCCATTATGTAGGTTTATCACAATTCTATGTAGTGCAGTCAACAGTACAGACATTCAGGACAATGTCGTGCAGAGGTATAGACCCTGTTGTAAAATTCCACTTTTATACTTGTGTGGACCGTCACCAAGCACCTGATTGAAATATATATGTGAAAGGAATAGAAAGTACATAACATTGGAGCATCATAAAAAGAAGAAGTTTCAGAAACTTGAAAAAAGCCATCAACAACAGATGACCTCGGTAATCCAGTTAGAAGGTTTATCACAATTCCATGCAGTCAACACAATCGAGACAGGTCCTTCAGTGCGCTGCCCTCAGGGGTGAAAAATAGGCGTTTTTTCCCCTGAAACGACCTCCCCCCCCCCCCCCCCCCCTTGAATAAAATTTAAAAAATGGCATCTAACAACATTCCCCCCTTTTGAGTAAGAAAATTGGGGAAAAAGGGGCAAAAATCGGGAAGAAAGAGAGAAAAAAAATCTGGAATTTTAAAAATAAAATCGGGAAACCAATTTAAATTGGGTGATTATCAGGCCTGTGCCCTGTAGGTTTGCCAACCCATTTTATGAAATTCCACTTACATATTTCTTTGGACCAAGCCTTGAATAATATCAATCAAAAGTGATCTATCAAATACAGCTTTAGTGACCTACTTCAGATTCAGATAAATTTTATTGGACCATCGGAACATCATTAAAGGGCCACTCTAACCAAAATGGGCTAAAAAATGAAGAAAAAAAAGACATGTAGAATAATTTTGGCGAAGATTCCGAACACGACAATGATTTTTCTTAGAAATCATCAATAATTCTGGAATCTAGCTTTGAAAATGACGACTCAGAACGCTCAGGAAATAGCCCAGTTTCGGTGATGACGCATTTGACGTCACTCCAGGCGCCTCTCCGGTGAAACGGAGGGTGATTTAGGCATTAAAATGTCTTCATGTTTCTGGCAATTTTGTCATTCCTAATTATGAAATGGAAGGTTATTATCATTTTTGGGGTCAATTTAGAGATTTTCTGAAAAATCAGAGGCTGGAATATTAATAAGTAGAGGTGTATTCATGTTTTGAAAGGCTATGTTAGTTGGGTTAGAGTGGCCCTTTAAAAGAACGGACGTTCTTGAACCTCAAAGAAGCCAGCAACAGCAGATGACCTTGGTAATCTATTTAGTGGTTACACATACATTTATAATCTAGCTTCCTCTCAAATGTAATGACAGATTTTGTCAAGAGGTATTAAAATGAGTTCAATGGAAACTTTTTGGTCAAAGCATTGGACATTTCATTATTTTTTTTCTTGGGGGGGGGGGGGGAGGAGCTGTGAGATGAAGAAAAAATGAAGAAGCTTTAAATGAGGTAACAATAAACATGTTTATTGAATATTTATTTAAATATGGCAAGACACTGTTCATTGAAGATAAATAGAATGCTACATTTTAATGCCAATGCACAATTTCAGATGACTAGAAAGTTGCTTTCTTACTGATGCACAAGTTCATGTTTATATAGACCAGGCCTTCTCAACTGGCGGCGCGCGCGCCACTTGTAGCGCTTGCGGTCAGTCGGAGTGGCGCGCGACTGTTGCAACAACAACACAAAAACAGAAAGAAAGAAAGAAAAGATATTTTAGAATTAAATACTCGGCTAAATCAAGAAGTTGCAGTCGAATTTGAGCCCAAAATTTTATTTTTATACGAATCTAAACCTAAGATCTGAACAACAATTAGCTTACGATGGGATACCAATTTTAACATTGCCAATCTCTGGAAACATCTTGTTTTTGTTTGTTTGATTTTCAATTTATTTTGACATTTCCTGTGTTTATTGCACACACAAAAATACATATAAATATACCTCCAGTGTAATTGTACCCAGGAATTGTACTAATTTTTCACATCAATATGAAATTAAGATTGATTATATTGTGGAATGAAATGGTGTTAAAAATGCCCTATTTGGGCCTTTAGAAAGCCCTAAATCCTCCAGCTTCAGGGGGCTCTGCCCCCTGTGCATACCCCCGTTAGGGCTTTGCCCCTGGACCCCACCCATTTTCGGCTCGGTCGCTACGCTCCCTCGCAGCACCATCAACCATACAGGGTGGCACTTCAACTACAAATTCTTTTCGTTTTGGCGCTTCTAATATACTAGTTGAGAAGGCCTGATATAGACATTGAATGCTTGATGATTTGATCAAAACCACCAGAAATTAGAATTTTTTCACACTACAACTGATATATCATTTGCGAATTCAGCAAAGAGTGTGGTGATAAATAAGAAAATGAAGTGCATTTTCTGCCAACTTAATTTGACTTCTTCTATTTTGCCGACATTTGTATCACAATTTAATAATGGTACACAATAATGTAAATTGTCTGAAGGAAACATCATTTTAATACGAGTATATCTGAGATACATGTATAAGAACTGTATTTAGAATATCACAACAAATAGATATTATTTAATAATAACGTTTTATTTACCCAGGGTAGCCACTTCAGTTATGAAACTGCTCTTCCAGCGGGCCCTGCATAACATAATATGTTACTATAACCCTTCTCCAATCTAATATGCTGAGCGCCTAGCTAGAAGGCAGAAGGTCCCATTGTTATAAGTCTTTGGTATGACTCGCCCGGGGATCGAACCCACGACCTCCTGTTCATGAGGCGGGCGCTCTAACCATTGAGCCACCATGCCCGGTGATTGTTATAAAACAGAATTGTGATGCACATCTGCACATTTCAAAAACAATGTTTTTTTTGAGAGAGAAACAATGAATTAAACTAGATGGAATTTTGACTGCGCGCAGTCGAAAATGATGCCTCCGCCATAGAGCAATTTAAACAAGTTTGGAGTTTAAATCTCCAGTGGTTCTTGAGATATCATGATAACAATCTCAATGTATGGAATTTCATAAGTTGACCTCTGTGACCCTTGACCTTTGACCTACGTGCTCCAAAATCTAATCAGATTGTCTTCCTATGGTGATACACACTATCATTAAGTTTGAAGTTTAAATCTCCAGTGGTTCTTGAGATATTATGATAACAATCTCAATGTATGGAATTTCATAAGTTGACCTCTGTGACCCTTGACCTTTGACCTACGTGCTCCAAAATCTACTCAGATCGTCTTCCTATGGTGATACATACTATCCTTAAGTTTGAAGTTTTTACATCTCCAGTGGTTCTTGCGATATCATGATAACAATCTCAATGTATGGAATTTCATAAGTTGACCTCTATGACCCTTGACCTTTGACCTACGTGCTCCAAAATGTAATCAGATTGTTTTCCTATAGTGATACACACTATCACTAAGTTTGAAGTTTAAATCTCCAGTGGTTCTTGAGATATCATGATAACAATCTCAATGTATGGAATTTCATAAGTTGACCTCTGTGACCCTTGACCTTTGACATACGTGCTCCAAAATCTAATCAGATCGTCTTCCTATGGTGATACATACTATCCTTAAGTTTGAAGTTTAAATCTCAAATGGTTCTTGAGATATCGCGCTAACAAACTCAATACAAGGAATTTCATAAGTTGACCTCTGTGACCTGTGACCTTTGACCTACGTACTCCAAAATCTAATCAGATCGTCTTCCTATGGTGATAAATACTATTCCCGAGTCTTAAGTTTAAATCTTAAATGGTTCTTGAGATATTGTGATAACGGTCAAACGGGACGGACGGACGGACGGACGGACGGACGGACGGACGTACGGACGGACGGACGTACGGACGGACGGACGGACGTACGGACGGACAACCCGAAAACATGATGCCTCCGGCACCACCTTCGGTGGCGGAGGCATAAAAAAGCTTCATTGTAATTGTAGTTGCTTTATTTCAAACGATTTCAAAAAACATTGTTCTTGCATCTAAAACATTTTTCGAGAAATATTTATGCAGAATAAAAGAGATTTTTTTTATATGAACAAATATACAGTGTTTCTTAGTCGAGTATTTGATTGTCTTTAGCTTAAATTGTAATCACAATGTAGTCCAAATTTTAAAAATTTCACTGTACATAATTTCTTCAGATCGGGCTATAAAGTGAAAAAAAGACATGTAGAAGACTTTTTGACAGAGATTTCGAATACGACAATTATTTTTCTTAGAAATCATCAATAATTCTGAAATCTAGCTTTAAAAATGACAACTAAGACCAATGCGTCATCGAGCCACGTGACCTTATTTCCCCGTTTTGTTAGGGTTGGAGCTTTATAGCAAGCGTGAGATCTGTGAAAAATGATGGTTATTATCATTTTTTGCTCCTTTATCCTTCTTCTTTTGATTTAATGTACATAACATTTAAAACTGTGTCAAAAAGTATGAATATCTAAACAAGCTTTACAGTATTATCAATAGAATGCAATAGCATTTTGCCATGAGCATGCATAGTGGAGTGCTGTGACTCATTTCCACTCAATATATTTCAGTTTTATTGAATTATAAATAGTTTTTTCAAGACCTGCAGAACTTATTCCAAAGTTAATTCACCTCGGTAATGTTTGAATACTGGCGCAGATTTCATAGTTTCGTCTTTCCTTGATACTTTTCTGATTGAACAGACAGAGAATAACCAGTCCACAATGGCGCTCAGCACATCCTTGTGGTCCTCATTGGGAAGAATATGCCTTGCATCTCGGAATGCATAAAGAATGAGGAGAATGTAGAAATTGAAGAGGAGGAAGAATAGAGCAATTGTCATGAAGATAAAGTAAAGTGGGCCCAGTGTTGCATAGATTTCACTAACATCCATGAATTCCTCATAGCCCCCCTCTAGGAAGAGGAAGATGGTCTGGAAGGAGAAGGCCACATCCTTGAAATCCATGACGTCTGAGCCAAATGTCACACAGAACAGAAGAGCAAAGGCAAATAGGAAGATTAACACCATGAGAGTGAAGATAAAGAACTCGCTGGTTATGTTGGAGAATGTGTGATGGATCGTTTGGATGCTGCTGTTGAAACGCAGGATCTTGGCGCAACGGAGTGTGTTGATGAACACTAGGAATCCTGTAACAGCCATGAAGGTTTGATCCATGATCACAGGATAGAAGAAGGAAATGAACTTAGAAGGATTCTGGGTGTAGTCCTTCATGGCTTTGTGCAGAGAGGTCGCCCATAGGCTGTAGAATACAGCGGATAGGATGGACAAAATTATGGTCAGAATGTTCAGGATATTCCAGAATTGGAAATATGCCCTCTTCTTGCGTCTCAGTTTCTTGACTTCCAAGTGGATAAGGCCAAGGATCACCAAGAGGTAGACACTCTGGAGGGCCAGGTTGATTTTATCCACAACGGTTTCCAAGCTGAAGATCTTGAAAGCATGGAACTCTCCTGTCGAGACAAGATTCCCCATTGTGGTAGCCTCAAACAAGACAGTGCAAACACACATCAATCCAGCATCTGCACTGAAGACTGTCCATTCTATATACAGAGCCCTTGTCAGTTCGTCCAACCACTTCCGATTCTCAAGTTCTTGGAGTACGCGGAGGGTGCTGCGGGCAGTCGAGCTTAAGACCTGGATGTAGCCACCTTGTGTGTACAATGTAACTGTACCCATGTGATAGCTCCCGTGGGATGATCTTGACGGTGTGAACTTCCAAGGGCCATAGGAATCTGTAATTGCTTTAGATTCTGTATCATCTTCAAGGAGTTCTGACCATGACTTGTTGTAAGTCTGCTGGTTGGTATGACTTTGAGATCTTAAGATTCCAGTGCAGTTCACAATGTGTTGTGTAGGCTTGGGTGGAGTACAGGCATCTACATGAGGAAATAAATAAGTATGCTGGTTTTACTAACATATTGATGTAAGGAAACGATGGGAAAATTCCAAGGAAACCGAACATACAGCAAAATCATTACATGCAATGAGATATTTCCGCTGTGGACAACAAAAGTATTATTTCACATGCTACTCGTGTATGTCTGCATGTATGTATGCAAAACTCTATTCTATCAAAGCCAATGTGTGACTTGGTGCATGTAAGAATTAGGCCTAACAAAATATGATGTTGTATTGCCCTTTAGGTCCCAAAAGTGGGTCGGTCGGTCGGAAATGTTTTTTTTTTTTTAATGTTTTTTTTTTTTTACTCCCTCTTTGGTGTGAGTGTGTGTGTGTGTAATTAATTTTTTACAGACGTGTATCAATCGGATATGATTATTTACGTCTGGGGATCGACTTTTGACGTCACCATCTGAAAGACGCGACTCATTTTCAAACCTGCGTCCTCGGCTGAATCAGTTTGTGACTTCCATTATAAGCTGGATTACAGGCACAGGCCACAACGCCCTGTTATTTCTCAGTTTTGAATGCTTTAATACATTTTTTTCCCCCCAAAACGGTAAAAAAAAACGGTAAAAAAAAACTTTAAAAAAAACGCTGACCGTAGATTTCAAGATTTTGGGATCGGTCGCAAAGAGCAATACAACATCTTTTTTTTTTAAAGGCCTTATGCTGAACCTCTTTATTCTCACCAGGGATGATCCGGACCTGTCTCAGTCTAGCTCGCCCTACTCTGTAGGTGCTTTCATCTCCTAGGAATCCCCTGTTTTCTCCATACAGCTCTGGTACAAACGATTCCTCCAAGTACCCATACACATCATTGATGGAGGAAACCTGATACAAAAAGATTCATTCATGAATAGGAATTTATCATTTTACAGTTAAACACTGTCACACAACAAGGTCAATCAGAGAAAGCTTTAAAAGATACCGCCCACCTTCTCATGACTGTTTCATAGTAATGCTTCAATACAGAACTCATTTTACACACCTAATTCATAGATATCTTTACAAAGAAGAGGAAATTCCATCAGCTGTTTTGTTAGACGTAGGAGTATCAGTATCTGCAAATACATGTAGGTGTAGTAAAATGGTAATCACCATTTAGAGTAAAATCTAAATTTGAAAATACAGATAACCTCGCGTAAGTCGACTAAGCCAATTTTCGACTTGTACGTAATTCTTAGAAATTTGGCTTACCCATAGGCCTATCTAATACATAGTCTTATATGAATGCACTTTGTTTGGTAAAATCCATGCTAACAAAGTGTGCATGTTATGTGTACATTGCCAGTAAAAGTGCATACAGCAGTGATATTGCTAAAGCAAGAATCCAAGATAAATGAAGAAATCTAGCAGCATGAGGACCAAGAAGACGTTGACTGGAACCCCTACTTAACCAGACCATCTCGCCAACTTAGACGCACACACCTATCATCCTTCCAGAGACCAACACAACAATTTACTCAAATAGCTTTTTCCCATGGACTGTTAAATATTGGAACGACCTGCCTCATGACATCCTAGACGCCCCAAACATAGACATTTTTAAGAAAAGGCTCTGCGATTTTTTCACAAACACCAATCGGAAATAACTCCACCAGGTCAACCCCCAGGTCAGCCCTCTGACGTGGTGCGGGATCCCGCTTTGTCGGAGTAAAATCCAGAACCAGAACCAGAAGAAAAGAGAGTGAGAAAGAGAGAGCTACATGCTACATGTACGCTGTCGCTCATATAGATGGAATATTTTTTTTTACCTCAATTTATGGAATTATTTTGACAATGATTTATTCCTAAATAGATCTAGATAATACTATACTTTCTCAGATTTTCAATAATTTATTGAATTTTACCCCGTTCCTTAACATAACAAAATCCTCTGTACGACCATGCATTATGGCTCAAGGCATGGGCACACAGAAGATTTTTTTTCAGTTGGGGACCGGGGGGGGGGGGGGGGGAATTCAATGAATTATGCTTTAGCTTAATGCTGTAGCAGTCACGCAAAACAAACACTGGCAAATTATTATTCAATAAAATCTGAGAAAGTATAGTATTATCTAGATCTATTTAGGAATAAATCATTGTCAAAATAATTCCATAAATTGAGGTAAACAAAAATATTCCAACTATATGAGCGACAGTGTAGATGAAATGGGAAGGGGAGCAGAGAGAGCAAGAGAGAGGCGAATACGAGAGAGAGAAGAACGGAGGAGCGGGAGCCAGCAAGTCTGGAATACAGGGCCACCGAGGGCATATATTTTTTTATCAACATCGACTTGGGCAGTTATTTGACATATACGAGGTCGACTGTAGATTCAAACAATTTCACCTATGAAGGGACTCTAACCTTCAACCCCCGAAACCCAAGAATAACCCTTACACCACACTTTTGACGAAATAAAGCCTGAAGCAAATGTCTCATTACCCCCTAAGAAATCTTTCCAAGAGAGACTAACACAATTAACTCACATCTTCAAATCCTGCAGTGAAAGTATTAGCCACGGTTTGATGAAACAGGTAGTTGTTGGGATCCCTCTGGAAGTGGGCGACTTCTAGGGCTAGGACCACCAGAAGAATTTGTCCCAGGAGTTCTTTCAGCATCTTGCACATCTTCGCTTCAGCTTCCCGTCGTTCTCTGACTTGATTTACAGACTCGATAGTGGGTGGTTGGTAGTAGCGAGCAATGGTGTGCCGTTTACCTCTCCCTTTGGCATTTGCCGGAGTCATGAAGATACCTGTGTATAAATGTATTGAGCGCTTAAATTTTCATGCATGAATATACCATTAGTATAATTTATACATGAACAACTTGAAATTTGATACCTTAATTAGTTGGTTCCTATCGACTACCTACACTTTGATAGGCTACATCAGACACAAAATATTATTGATGGTTTATCAGAGAGCAAGCAGAGATTATTGATCGACATGTAGGACTATGTTGTGAATGTAAAAAGAATCTGACACTTATAGAGTTCCATAAAACTGGATTCTTTGTTGTCGTGAATCCTGACAAAAACCAAAGTGGAGATGAGACAGAGCTTGAAACCAGTAAATTGCCTGAAATCTGGCACCCTCCCCCTGAAATACTTGCCTGTGGCTGGATCTGTAAAGAGGTCCACGCCAACATCATCATCCTCATGTTTCTTCCAGATAACGGCAGAGAATGCAGCCACCAGGATGACCTTGCCTGGCTGCAGGACAAAGATACTCTGGAACAATGAAACCATCATGCTGACCAGCCAGTCCATGGAGGTCTGGAGGCCATAGGTTAGACCATACAGGATGACCAGGTAGCCACATACCAGGTTGGTGACCACTACAAAGAACCAGCCAATGTAGACGAACCACCAGGGCAGGCATCCTTGACTTTCACCTTGGCAGCAACCGCTTTTATCTTGGTCTTCAGTTGCAGCATGACCTTCCTCCTCCTCTTGTAGATGTTGATACCAGCCATGTACCTTGAGAGTTTCTTCCAGTTTCCGCAGTGCCTAGCAGAGGATGTCAATCATAATACATTTACAGATGAATACCTTGAAGGAATAATTTTTCAAAAAAGATTTTCTCCTTACATTATACAATCTATTTGTCATTTTATATTTTCCCATGATATTAAATGGTGCAATGAAATTATATCACTATACAAACATCATTCATTTTTCAAAATTAGAATTTGCTGCAATGTTTTGCCTCATCTTCTGTCTACAGAGAAACCATGAAGCTGATATGGTGATACACTGCACTAATAAAATATACCCTATCTTTGATATTGTATGTGCCATTAAAATTCCTACCTTCTTCCGATCTTCCTCACTTTTGAAGTAGCCCTCCGGTGCATGGTAAATTTCTTCATGCATTGTGTTGATATGGTGATGAAGGTAGTCTTCATGTCGCATGAAGAACGGAGGCCTATTTTGCAGCTCTGTTGCTTCCGGACTCAAAGATTCAGGTTGGGAATCAGAAGATGAAAGAACCGAAGAGGATGCTGTTCTGTGTAAACGGTCATCTCCTCCTCCTGAGACCACATCATCATGTTCTGAACCTTTGTAGCATGGTCTTAAACAGCAACATGGTGGGATTTCCTCAGTTGTACTGACATGGATACTTCTTACAGACACATCTGCTGACTTAGAGCACTCATTAGATGCAGAGTCTATCCAAACGGACTGAGCAACAGGTTGAATCTGGCTCTCAATGTCATGTTCATTGTTCATTTTCTCTTGGGTTATTGTCTCAGGAGATTGTGCTTCTGATGGTATCTGCTCAGAGTGGTTTTGACTTCCATCTCCTGCATGGTGAGGCACATTTTCACCATCTGAAGCTTTTAAGGATGCCGTAGCTATCGACTTTGTGGACTGCTCACTTGTGGTTTTAGTTGTTCCTGATTTGTCATCTTCGCTCTCAGCTACAATCTCAACAGACTTGTCACCCTTTGAAGGATGCCTGCTTCTGACATTTCGAAAGATTTCCAATATTAGCAGATTCCCCGGTAACACCAAAAGTCCACTCTCGATGCCGACCAGGATGTCGAACCATGTCACACGGATAGTTCCCATCCCGATCTCCTGCGACATCTCTGGACCTTTGGAGTCGCCCACGTCCACATCCTCGGGAGTGATTCCAAAGAACATAATGCTTGCCAACATGGACATCATGAGAAGAGTGAAGCAGCAGGTGATGCGTTGCAGACGAGTGAAGTTGCTGTTGGGTGGCCTGGTGAAGATGGACACCCACAGGTGGTGGTCTTTCATGTCACGTAGGAGTCCAGTGATAAACAGGTGCTGGAACTGCTGTAGGTCCTCTGTGGTGGCCACTGGGAAGGTCTTGTCCACAGTGCACTCTCCTAGATCCACTGCTAGCCAGGTATGACAGAGGAAGTACCATAGCTGTTTGGTCTGCAGGTCGTGTACCAGGATGCGGTTCAGGTGCCTGTGTAATAAGAACCAAATTCATATCTTTTAAACTATTCTGAAGTGTACTTTTCAGTTCCATAATGCATGAAGGCACAATACATTATACATTGCCAGTCCACTGTCTACCTGTAAATGTTCCTAATGACCTATTTGTTATGCATATTATTTACAAACCGCACTATGAATGATATACAGTGCGTCCCAGAAAAAACGAAACCGAGAAGTATCAATGTTCTATCATAACTTAATCACAACTATAATTAATGAATGATACATATTTGGAAAGCTTAGAGTCTCCTCTTTTATGCGATGCTACTCAGATAATGCATATTTCACCCATGAGTGATTAAAAGCAATTTGAAGGCAGGAAACCAAAAAGACATTTGGCGGGCAGTATCTGAATTTCGAAGAAAAATTCACATTTCTAGAAAGTCAGGAAAAATGAGCAAGGAATGACAAAGTTCTGTTTGTTTAAAGTAGTGCTTGCATTTCCATAATTGTATTAAACAAATTTGTTTTCACTGGCTGCCTGCCGTATCAATAAATGAAATTAACAAAAGTCTTAACTCCGTATCGTTGACAATCAGCCGTAGACGAGAGTCTTCATGCATGGCTGATTGCCAAACGGAGTTAAGTCTTTTGTCAAATCTGCTTTTTGCTACGGCAGGCACCCAGTGAAAACGAATTCGTTTGTTAAAATTATGAAAATGTAAGTGCTACTTTAAACAAACAGAACTTTGTTATTCCTGGCTTATTTTTCTTGATTGAGGTATCATATGAAAGAGCAGAAAATGAACTTTCTAGAAATATGAATTTTTCTTTGAAATTCAGATACCGCCCGCCAAATTACTTTTTGGTTTCCTTCCTTCAAATTGCTTTTAATCACTCATGCGTGAAATATGCATCACGTGAGTAGCATCAACTGAAAGAGGAGACTCTAAGCTTTCCAAATATGTATCATTCATTAATTATGGTTGTGATTAAGTTATGATAAAACATCGATACTTCTCGGTTCCGTTTTTTCTGGGACGCACTGTATAACACTTTGAAGTTGATTCAGATAATTCCCTGGACATGGTTTACTTAGAGCCTCACCATTCGGGTTGCTTTCCAGAGTTATCATGCCACACTCTCACAGCCGTCAGTTCTTCCAGGGAACCATGTGTAGACAACACGAAGGAATCTACTCCTCCCCTCTGCAGAATCTTGCGCTTCCCCTCAGTAGTAAGGACATGGGGTTCACTGGACCCAGCAGCCCCATAGAGGGTGATGGTGGCAACAGCTGTGGTACCTGCCACACGGCGCAAACCGGTGAATATGGTCACATGGTAATTGTACTGAGCTTCTGGGTTGTTGTCACCCAAGAAGATCACCCGTGCCTGTTCAAAGAAATGGACAAGGGCGACTTTTAGAATTTTAAAGGTGAACATGAAAGGCTTGTGAAAAAATATAGACAAATAGAGGAACAAAGCTGAGACACCATAAAAACCTATTTTTAGAATTTCTCAATTTTGTCTTCATTTTCCTAAAGAGCATAAAAAATAACGTCCGAATGTTGAAAACCAATCGAATATGTTAAGTATTGGATGAGATATGACCATCCGAATAAATATATGTCCTATGGGAACTAAGTCTTATGGTGCTCTGGTTCCTAACGTTATGAACTCCACAAAAATTATACACAAAACAAATGGGAGAGTGTAATGAGAGGAATGATGCTCACAGAATTGTTTTGGGCTTGACCAACTGATATTAAAACATTAGTCAGGCAGCCTTGTCATGACCCCTTGATCTAGATATAACATCCACCATAGGCAAGTAAACATTCAATGAAAACATGGTCTCTGAAAAATCATTTGTGATTTTTTTTTCCTTTAAGGGTGTGGATGGGCAGTTTTGTTTTGTACATTGACATAGTTGTGTTGTTTCGAATTACCTCTTAAAGGGATCCGGTAACTTTGTCTTAGATCCTTTAGAAATAATCCTTGATTTAGCTCATGCTGCAATGATAATTATAAACCTTTAGGTCAGTCAGGAACTCCATGACTTTTACAAGCCGATCGCCTGTCTGATTATCAAGATATTTGTGATTGGAATTACAAATTTTGAAAACCGTTCGCCAAACGGTTTTCATAACACTACAGTCTATTGGGGAAAACGAGTATGGTAAAACCGGTCACTCAAAGATTTTAACTTTTTTGAGGCGCTTCTTGATCATTTTTTTAGGGCTTCAATATTACACCATATCACAGACAATGGTAACATATAGGACCGTGTATCTCAGATTTAACATCCCTTTAAAAGAATAATGACCCTATGCCTATGGTGTTATATTGTTACATACCTGTTCCTCAGCTCTTCTGTCGTGTCTGTTTGCCCAGACGGCAACCAAGACATACAGAGCAAAGACTGATCCCACTGTCATAGCAGTGATTGGATTCTCCAGTATCTTAGCAAAGAGAGATGCATCTTTGATGAAGTGCACAGTGTTGGGAAGAACCACAAAGCCAGCAGCAAAGTGAGAGAGATGGTTACACTGGCAGTGGGCAAGGATGCGGGATGTCAGAGGTCCAACCTATCGTTGCAGGAAAAGAGATGAAAGGCTTTCCTTTACAACTTGCTTTCCAGTGAGAAAATTGATCATTTAAAATATGTGAAAAACACAAATATGACTTTTCATACATTAGGATATTGATATTGTAAAATGGGATGAAAAAGAAAAAAGGGGAAAGTAGAAGAAAATAAAAACACTGGAAAATTGTTTTGATCTCTGAAAATAATGGTGACCCTTATGATATACAGTACTTTATTCAATAAAAACTAGATTGATCTTCGACTGCGTGCAGTTGAAAATGATGCCTCCGCCATAGAGCGATTCTAAAAACCAAAACAGAGGCAAATATATGCAATCCATTAGCATGTTCTCGCAATATAGTGATCACAAGCCTTTTTTCATATACATGTATGACCCTTTAATCTTTGTCCTCATGTCCGGAAAATCTAAATCAGTTCAATATACATACATGTCCTGAGTTTGACAATAATTAATCCATCCATCGGTTCTACTGATAATGCGGTCATAAGGTATTTTTGCATAGATAATGAACCCCATGACCTTTGACCTCATTACCCCCAAATCTAATCAGTTCATTGGCTCTGCCAGATACATACATGACCTAATTTTGGCAGGAATCCGTCCATCAGTTCTAATGATAATGTGATCACGAGCTATTCTTGCATATATAATCAGGGAATAATTTTCCTCAAATTTTTTGATTAGCAATTTCAGCCGATGGATAAATATTTCAAATGAAATTCTGTACATTTCTATGGAAGAAAACTGCTACACAAAAGATATTTTGTATAGCAGTCATGCAAAAATGCATAGCAAATTGCGATGCGATACCAGGAAAATTATTCCCTGATAATGAGCCCTGTGACCTCGAGTAATCAGACTATTGTCTCTGCACGATACATACATGACCTAAGTTTTGCAGGAATCCATCAATCGTTTCTTGAGATAACGCGATCACGAGAACGGGACGTTCTGACAGACAATCCCAAAACATTAATGCCTCCGGCTACTTCGTTGCAGGCATAAAAATATGTGGACAGTGATCAAAAGTATATGTTTTCTTTCTAGGCATCAAAACATGTTTGAGGTTGTTTTGTGTTCTTATATAGGTATATATTCACATGGCTTATTGATACAAAGAAGAAATATGCAAAATATATATTTTCACAATTCTAATAGTTTTGTCAACCTGCCATTAAGTTAAGACTCACTTTGCATCCAGTGGTGTCCCACATCTCCTCCTCTGTATTCCAGTAAACACACTGAGCTCCATAGGCATACAAAGCAATATCCGATTTATTAACCATCCCCCAGCCACTGAGAACAAGACCATGGTCACCATTCACCCCTATCTCACTAAATGGAATAATCCACAGGTAAGGGTTTCCTGTCATATTGTGGGTGTCATTCAATGCCGATACAGGGGGGTCAGCTCCTGCCGGAAATGAGGTGTTCAAGATGTGGGTAGCATCCACTCCTGCAGAACTGTTCGTTCCAGTTTCATTGCGGGTGAGAAACAGGAATAGTTCTGGGAAGGGCTCGTACAATGAACGGTTGTACACGACAACCTCAACCACTACATATGCCATCTGTGATATGACGTTGAAATAGTAATTGATCTCTCCACTCTGTGATTCCTTGGCCGCTTGGAGTTGCTGAACCTTAGTATCCTCATTATCTATGAAGATGTCAATGTCTTTGGGTAGGTTCACAGGGGTCAGCTTGGTGTGTTGATTCCCGTCGCTTAGCTCCAGTTCAAGACTGCTCACCTGACTTGTGATGTCGTCTTCTCCACCCATTGAAGCCCAAGCGAATGGATTGTGATTGTATTCATGAATCTGGACAGACAGATAAAAGTGAACAAAAGTGAATATCAAGCAACTCTTCAGCGGCTGTGGTCTACCGATGGTACAAACATGGGGAATGGAACTCGACTCTTGTCACAGTACGTATATCATATACTCCAACAATACTGCAGTCCAAGGTTTCATTGCATGGTGACAACAGATTTATTGAATTGAACTGAATGAAATGACTGATTGAATTTCATTTCCACATCTCCATATCAAAAACATTTATAAAGATATACAAAACATGTGGTACAAGCAAATGTACAAAGAAGAAAAGACTAATGTAAATGTAGTGGGATCATAACAAGTTTGGTACAACTTGTAATTTTGTAAACATGATCCCATTAAAAAACATGAAAACAAAATATACATCATAAGCACATAATAAAATAAAATTCAATAGTGAAAACAATTGAGTAAAGAAAATTGTAAATTAAAAAACATATTCAAACTTTTGTTAATATAGATTTTCATATCCAAAACATATAGCAATAAAATAAGCTTTAAACTTAACGTTTGAAAGAGTTTAAAGAAATGGTGATGTTTACAGATCTATGTAAGTTTCCCAGATACTATTACTTTCACTCCTTTCTCTGCGTAAGTTCAAAAAAGTCGAGTAACTTTCATCCTGAAGCCTATTAACTTGAAGCGCATGTATACCACCTAATGGACAGAATATATATATATGTAAGAATCTAGAGCCAATAACTTTTAATACATTTATTAATAGTAGATCCTTTACACAAAAGAAAGTTCAAACTTAGCAGATAATCACAGTGCATGAAGATATTTTTACTTCTTTTTTGCCACAATGATTGCAAAAATTACTTCAAAGAAAATTTCTCATTTTTTAAACGGACTAACATCTTTGTTAAATGTTTCGATATAAGTAATTTTTTCCCCCTATAGGAATAACTGAATGGATGTACCTGTTTGTACATAAAGACAATGCAAGAAGTCTTAGCTACTAAACTTCAAATAAAGAAAGTATTAAATATCAATATTCTTGGATGGGTTTAGCTACTAAGGCATGGGAGGGGCCAAAGTGTACATGACACATGCCCCTCCCCTCCTTTTTCTATATCTGCTGACATTTGCTTCATAAAATGAAGTGGGGATTCCCCATCACAGACTGGTAACATATATTCATGTATAATGTACATACAAATGCATGTATACATCACACATACTATATGTGTATGCTGTGTTATATGGCATGATTCTAAGGCTTTCTACTTTCTTATTAAAATGAAGTGGGGATTCCCCAATGACGATCACAGACTGGTACCATATATTCATGTATAATCTACATACAAATATACTCATATACATCACACATACTATATGTGTATGCTGTGTTATACGGCATGTTTCTAAGGCTTTCTACTTTCTTCATAAAATGAAGTGGGGATTCCCCAATGACGATCACAGACTGGTAACATATATTCATGTATTATCTACATACAAATATACACATGTACATCACACATAATGTACTATATGTGTATGTTGTGTTATATGGCATGTTTCTATTGAAGGCTTTCTGCTTTTGTATTTGTGGGAAAGTCGTACAATTGTAAATGATGTACTGATACATTAAAACTGGCATACTGTACTGTATTACTGAGGTAATGAAAACATTTACACAAATGTAGGTACTTTCTATAGTTTTCTAGGAAAAAGAAGTACTACTTTAATAAAACAATGGCTCAGCATAGCACAGGAGGTAATCTTGCAAACTTACTCCCAGAGTGTCCAATATGCATGGGCATAATGCGTGGCGCCAGATTGCTGAACTGTGGGCATACCTACTGTCAAGATTGCCTGGAAAAAGAATTGCTCAGGAGCCCTGCACCACACAGATTGCTGGCATGTTTTGAATGCCGCACAGAGATGGCTCTAGGAGAGGACGGTGTGAATGGTCTCAAAAGGAATTTCAGCCTTCAGACTATCATTGACAAGTATGACAACATGACGCTTTCTCAGAAAGAAGAGACTTCAAGACAAGAGGCAACTGAGCCAACTCCTACAGAAGAGAAGTACACAGTCAAATGTGAAAGACATACAAATGAGGTAGCATATTTCATCTGTGAAACATGTCAGGGTACACTGATCTGCAGGGTATGTACTGAAGGAGATCATTTTAAGCACCACTTTGTCAGCGTCAAAGGCAAAAGTGACAATCTTAAGGCTTCACTGATGGAAGTCATCGAACAACACCAGAAGCTGACAGCACAGGTGATTGGGAGAGACCAGAGCCGAGCTGTAGATTCAATCGCCTGCAACATTCAGCGTCTCGAAAATGAAGTGAAACAAACCGCAGCAAAGAAGATCCTTGCCCTTCAGAAAGAAAAAGACAAACTGATTCGTCTCGTACAACATATTGGACAAGTAATGGAAGAAAGGACAAACAACATGTACTACAATGAGAAGCCCATTGATAGTATTGTTGAAATGGTGGTTCGTGACAATGAGTACGATATCACAGCAGGCTACCTTGAAGCAATGGGGCATCTGAAGATGTCACTAGCTGAAATGAAAGAAAAGACGAGTTCCAGCATCATGCCTGACGTAGCAAAATGTCTGTCATTCAAAGAGGAGGGTAGCAGATCTACAGATACAAAACTGTGTGATTTAGTGCTGTCCAATACATGTTGGAAACCTGCAACAACATACGTTGACATTAATGCCATGGGAAACATATTAGCCTTCTCCTGTGGTCCCCTGGGGAACTGGTACGTACTGTGTTCATCAGGGAGTAGCGGACAAGCAAGAGGAGAAGAGAAGAGCGTTTGCTTAAGGCAGTTGTCAAGTGATGGACAATGTAAGAGGATAACAACCTTAAACCTGAAAGCAAAACCGTTGGACATTGTCTTCACAAAATCAGGACAATTGTGCATCTTGGGTCTCTGCAACAATGTATTGTGCCTGGCCACTGTCCAACGCCTTTCAAAGACATCAACTGGGATGAAACCACTTCAGGTAAAGGACTTGGTAAATGAGACTCTGAAGGTCACTGCCAATCATCAAGACCAAGTTTGTGTACCTGATAAGAATGGATGTGGCATCTGGAAAATCAATGTGAACAACGGGACTGGTCAAAAGTTCAGCATGGATGACTTCCCTCAACCTGTGAATGCTGCTAGCTGTGGAACAAGCATCTACTGCATCACTGCAGAGAAGCAGATCATCCAGAGGCAGGAATTTCCTAGTAGCGTTCCAACTGTATGTGAACACGACATCAAATCTGGTGAGCCTGTACAACTGTTGGTTGATCCAAAGACCTGCACACTCTTGGTCGTCCACCAAAGTGTTAATACAGACGACTCAAACTTTGAGCTAAACATTCATCAACTTGGACGCTCCAAACCCGTCGTTAAAGCTCTCAATGTGAACTGGGTTCCCTCGGTTATGAAGGTGGATATCAATCAGAAAGGTAATCTTACCATACTACTAGCAAAGGAACAGAGTGGCATGATCGTCGAGTATCAACGTGAAAATCTGCCATCACTTCATGACATTCCAGGCCTCCTTCCTCAAGAATAATTGGTAAGGTTATATATTAATTGCATCATGTATATATAAGACCATATATAGCAAATTAATGTACAAATTTTTTCAAAATCTGATGAAATTTTGTAAACAATTTTATCTAATTCAAATTGAACCGACTTTAATACATGTCATATGTTATGATAAGAGGAATCAATAATCTATCCAAAGAAATGCTCCATTTTCAGATATTTAATAGAGGATTTGAGCTGCCATGCAGTCCACATAATCAAACAATTCAGCTTTTAATTTGTAATCTGCTCATCAGAAGGAATTTTACAGCACAAACAGCAAAAACACTAATGATTTGATTTTCTGTTCAAAATTCTGTCTAGCTTTCCAAAACAATGTGGACTACATTTGCTCAATTGTGATTTGTAATATTTGTTTTTTTTAACTATTTAAATAAAAAAAACTCATAGCTGATATGAAGCACATGTACGAATTAATATTGCTGACAGTATGGAAATCCGCATAAGGTAAGCACCTCAGCTCCGCAAATAACCCAATGCTAAACTGTATCAAAAAATACACTTCAATATATTTTTGAAAATGTAAAACAGAACTTTTCAGACAATATCATGTCTAATTCATGGACATCAGCAGCGCAATCATATCAGAAGCAATATCAATGTTGTGTATGTTGTTATAGGCAAGTTTAAGATATTTGAACATTGAAATTGGTATTGAACATGAATCAAAATTAAAAAAAAAAATGATTTTATATATTACGTTTGATCCAAGGTAGTATATTCAATCGTGTATACAACAATATGTATTGTAATAAATAATGTGTTAGAAAATAGGCATTGGATTTGCCCCCCCCCCCTCCCTCCATCCCTTTAAAAAAAAAATTCTTGAAGAAGTTAACCAGCAATCTGACAATTAATCTTCAAGTTTTGAAAATTCATGTTTGTTTCTTATTTTATATCTGCATGTAAAACATTTATTATGAATTCTTTATTATTATTACTATACTTTAATTCATTTCAAGTCCATTTTTCCTACATACACCTGTACATCTATGCATGCAAGAGATACATGACTATCAATTTGTATAATGAACAAGTAGTTGTGTATTATGATTTGAGGAGTTTGAATCACCAACCATCATTTACAATATACATGCGCGTGGGATTTCCCACTGGAGAGTGGTGCATCTGCACATCTCTTGGTACATTCTCAGGCTGTACACACTACATCAGCACCTCATTAATATGAGATGTGGTTGGCTACCATGCAGATCAATATTCATGGGGAATTCCACATACAGGTCATCACCCTATGTAATGTATTCTTTACAGTAGTGTGGGCCCGTCACATACATATATTATTAAATCATATTGGAAAGGAATATCTCTGCACATTTTGTGAGTGAAAAGGACAATTTTATATTGCATGATGTCACAAACAGCAGGAGAAATTGCACTGCTTCTTCCAGAGTGTTCAATATGCATGGAAATTATTCAGGATGCCAGACTTTTGTCCTGTGGCCACACCTTCTGTGGGAAATGCCTACAAGGCCATGCTAATCAAAGCCCTATCCCAGGAAATGTTATTGAGTGTCCAGAATGCAGAAGGCAAATAGTACTGCCCAAGGATGGGGTGAGTGGATTGCCACGGAATTACAGCTTGCAGGCTACTATAGACCGACTGCAAGGTATGAGCCTTGCACAGGGGGCTGCGCCGGTCATGGCGGCTGCAGAAGAACAGAAGAAACCTCTTCCTGCGGCAAGAAAATATACGGCCAAGTGTAAGAAGCATTCCACTGAGGTGACAAACTTCTGCTGTGAGACCTGCAATGGTGCGCTCATATGCAGGGATTGCACAGTGGTTGACCACAGAGGGCATCTCTTTGTCAATATCAAAGACAAAAGTGATCAGTTAAAGGCCTCTTTAACCACTCTCATCGGACAGCACCAGAAAATGACAGAGTCTGTACTTGCTGTAAACCAGAAAGCAGCCGTGTCCACCATAAGATCACACATTTGGCACCTGCAGAGTGAGGCACAGGGTGCTTCAGATAGGATGATACAGGAGATTGAGACTCAGCAAGAACAGTTCAAAAGCCAGGTACAGCAGCTTGGATGCAAACTGGAAGAGAAAGTAGACTTGATGTACTACAATCAGAGGCCCATTGATGACATCGTGGGAATGATAGGCAGAGGCAACGAGTATGAAATCACTGAGAAGTTTGCAAAGGCCCAAGAATGTCTGCAGGTTTCACTCTCTGAAATGCAAGATAAGATGGATGCCAAGCTGATGCCAAGTGTCGCCAGAAGTCTTTCTCTTAAGATTAATAAAAACATGAGAATGAACGGAAAATCTGAGATGTTTGAGGTAATTCTGACAAGTTTAAGTTGGAAACTGGCATCAAAAGTAATTGTCAATACTGCAGGATGCCAGAATACAACTGTGACTTCCTTCACCTGTGTGCCAAACGGAAATTGGTATGTTCTCTACACCAGTAAGCAGCACCAGAATGCTGTTGTAGTTAAGGAACTCTCAAAAGTCGGAAGTGAAAGGTTACTAAGCTTGCAAATTGAAGGCAAACCAGTGGACATCAAGAGTACAGAAGACTCAAGCTTGGTCATACCTAGTATCCAGAGTGGAACATGGTGTCTGAACTTGTACGACACTACAGGACGGGCAACACTGTGCAAAGAGCTTCCCATCAAAAGAGGAAGAAGTGCTGTTGATCTCTACGTCCATATGGATTCTGAACACCAACTTTGGATTCCAGAAACAAATGGACACACAATTTGGATGTTCAATCCATCAGATAGATTTGTCGAACATACATTCAGCGTGAATGGATTTTTTCATCCCATCAATGTAGCTCTCTCCGGATCACACCTCTACTACATCACATCGAAGAAGAAGGTGATGAAAAGGCCGACAATACAAGATGGCATCCCAGAACCCTGCAAGATCGATACAAAACTTGGTGACCCCGCTCAACTTCTGGTAGATCCAATCACCTGTGAAGTCTTGATAGTCTACCATCGACTCTCTGAACCAGGTCGTTTTGAGCTTAGTATCCACCAACTTGAAAGCTCCAAGCCCCTGGTAGACCCCATCTTGTTGGACTGGGTACCGTCTGCTAAGAAGGTGGAAATCAGTCGCAAGGGGAACCTTGCCATCTTGCTGGCCACAGGACAAGGCGGCATTATCCTAGACTATGATCGTGAACATCTGCCAGCCCTATCTGATATCCTGAGCAACACGCCACAGTAGCTATCGAGTAAGCTGGTCAAATACCTGATCTTGTCTTTTTCTTTATCTGTTCCCAAAGAGGTTTTCTTGCATTTGAATTTCATATGACTTACATGTGCTTGTAAGACATTGGAATGATTGCTGTACATTTCTACGCAATTTAACATTAGTCTTATTCACCTTCAAACATTGTGCATCGCATACAAGTAATCATCATGTCATTTGGATCTCAGATAGTATACAAATATACACTGTCTTGAGAGGTTCTGTTTAAAACTATGCGCACGAGGTGACTATATAGTACAATTTGCTTCGGAGCAAATAGTATACAAATGTTGACTGCTTTGAGGGGCACGGTGAAAACTATGGTCTGAGGTGAGCTCACAACCGTGCTATTCTCCGGGATGGCAGTCGAGGGGCATAGCGCAGTTGTGAGATCACCGAGGGCCATGGTTTTTAACCGTGACGCGAAAAAAGAAGCAGTCAACATTTGTTTTATATACCACATCCTTCTTGAGCTCAGAAATAAATTCAAAGACAGATGAAATACAGCACCGTAACATAATTCTCATCGATTGCTCTTTCGAAATTTTGTTCGGTGTACATGTATGATATGGTGCTGGCCGCACCCAAGCGTATCAAATTGCCGTAGCTACGCGCGCGCGTACAAAGACATAATTCTATGCCCGGTCAATATTTTTCACTATACCGCCCATAGTCCATAGTGAATTTCATGCCCGCAAATTTGACCAGAGGCCTAGAATCTAGACATGCGGTATATAATACTATTTGAGTCACAGAGACCTATAGTTTAAACCAGTACCTCGAAAACAAGGCATGGTATATTTGTTTATATATCATGCATCAAAGAAAATAAGAAGAAAAAAAATGGAAGACAAAAAAATTGTTGAACTTTAAACAATTTAAAATTTAAACTACTGGTAGATGGATGTTCGACTTAACGCAGTCAAAAATGATGCATCCACCATCAACCAAACAATCTGATATCCATCAAACCAAAACAGAAGCAATTAAAAAAATCCAAGTTTGATTGTAATCCATTTACAGGTTCTTAAAATAACGTAAATACAAGCTATTTTTCTACATGACCGTTGGAACTTTGACCCTGTGTCCCCAAAATCTAATCAGCTTATTGGCTCTGCAAGATACATACATGACCCAAGTCTGATAGTGATCCATCAATCAGTTCTTGAGATAATGCGATCATGAGAGCGGGACGTAGGGATGGACAACCAGAAAACATAATTCAGGACTTTAAAGCACCTATTTCATAATTATCAATATTGCCATTTGTCTTGCTTATCTTTCACTGAATCATTCAATGGCCTACTTTTGAAATCAGTCAGGGCATTTTCAAATCATATAATAAATTAGTCTATCAGTAACTGGTCTACTTTTGATATCAGTTAGTGAGAGCCTTACAAAATCATATAATAATGAATTCAGGCCCTCGCAATTTATTTTCAGGCCATAGTTGAGGTTTTTTTGTGTACACAATAGCTCATTCTGGGTGATTTTCAGGACCTCTGATCGATTCTAACTGGCATCCCTGAGTCTATCAATAACCAATTTTGTCTTTTTTTCTGTTATTTCTATCATTAAAGCACTCACATGGCTGTCTACGATGTCATCAAAGCTGGATTCTGTTCCGCCGTCCAGTACATTGCTTGGAAGCTGGAAGGAAGTAGCTCCTGCCTTGCTGTCGCTGACCTTAGATGCTACCTCCCACCGCTCTTGCCTCTGGAGGATCAGGGATACAGCCTCTGTTCTGATCACTGTGCTCTCTTCGCCAGGGACCTTGTTCTGCAAGACAGCTGTCTGTAACTCTTCCAGGGCTTGCAGGGTAGCCATGCTGACATTTCTTGTCTGCGGATGAAACAGTGGACAGCTAGCTAGAGACGATCGAGTCTTAAGATAAGTACAATCAAACCTGTCTATTATTGGCCGCCCAAGGGGAAAAACAAAAAGTGGCCTCTGTAGACAGGTTATTCAACATGTTTCCTCCTAGAGGGAGGCAATACAGGTGACCACTATAAACAGGTGGCCTTCATATAGAGGTGGCCACTGTGAGAGGTTATTCAACACGTTTCCTCCTAGAGGGAGGCAATACAGGTGACCAATATATACACTGGTGGCCTTTATATAGAGGTGGCTACTGTGAGAGGTTAAACTGTAAAGTACCAGTTTCTATCCAGAACGTTCACAGAATAGAACCTGCTCCCCACTGAATCACATATATCACATATATGTTCCAACTGAGACCATATTTCTTAATTAATCTCTTAAGAATTATAAAGTAGTTTGATACATTAAAAAGACTCATTTTCATTTTGAATGTATACTACTCTCTTGAAAATATTATATTTTCTAAATTAATCAGTAACAACATGCTTGGATAGAGTAGTGTTGTTATATGAACAGCATAAGAAAAATTAACACAAAATTCAAATAAAAAACTGTTTTTTTTAATTAATAAAATCTGATATGATGGGTAAATAATGAGAAGGAAAGTTATTCAGATTTATCTGATTCAAACAAGCAGTCCTGACCCATGGGCAAAACACGTTGTTGCTCCAATTAATATTATTTTTGAAATTATTACTAAGTGGAAGTGTGGAAAAATGTGTGAAAAATACCAATCCATCTTTTAATTCCTTCTACATACCAAAGGTTAGTACGTGATACAACAGTTAGTAGTTAATACAGTACATTCATGTGATTTTTCCTTGTGAACTCATTATTACAACCAGAAGTACATATCTCTTTAACTGGAACTTGTGTGGTTGCATGTTAAAACTCTATTTTGATCTGATCTAATAACCCATGTATAAGACTATACCCAGCTGGAACTTGTATGTGTGTGTAATTAGGTTTTTTACAGATGTGTATCAATCAGATATTATTATTTACGTCTGGGGACCGACCTTTAAAGTGCGGGTTCATAGAAAATCTTAAATATGGCAAATAGCGTATTACTAGAAACTGTTAAGCTAACAGATGGCCATCATGCAAGTTTTAGGTCAACTACATATCGGGTGATTTATAAAAATACAAATAAAACAACCTCCATAGCATCTGGGATGTGCGAGAGATTCACCAGAAAAATAACGATGTTTTAATGCCGTCACAATATGAACCAACCCTGCGCAAGCAGACGACATCCCATAAAGAATGAACATAATTGCAATGCTTTTATTTCTCAAATTATAATGAGTTTAGTGTATATAAATGTGATGGAATTTTACACCATTCAAAAAGGGATATGACCCCCATTCTTATAACTAAATTCTTTTGTTTGTAAATAAACAGGATAGGGGTTAATGAACAATCAAAGAAACCACACTTTCAAATTAAAAAACCTCCGGAATGATAGCATGGACGTCATTTGTTCCCTCTTGAAACGCCGAACATGCTGCGGTGTATGACGCTGAAAATACAATGGCGTCTTATTTTGTTTACAAGCGACGGATTCCCTTTTTTTTTTTTATCCTTGCATTTTTCATCAAAATAATACCATGCACGGGGTTTAGAGTGAGGCAATACATTAAACATTTCGCCTGAGGGTGTTGAAGTAAGAGAAATAACTGAAGAAAAGTTGACAAAACAGGCACTGATATTGTGTGAGATGTCATGGGACATCGTCTGCTTGTGCACATCATGTTCAACATGTGACATGTGAGCCTTTTCAGGTGCTATGTCGGGGCTGCATCTAAGCGTTTTGTAAATGTTAATAATCATTACTTCAAATGTTTCCAAGCATTGGCTTTTGATAACCTTGGCCAATCAAAGTGTCACCTTTGCAATTATGACATTAAAGTTAGTTTTTTAAATCAATGAACCCTCTCTTTAACGTCACCATCGGAAAGATGTGATGAACCTGTGTCCTCGGCTGAATCAGTTTGTAACTTCCATTGTAGCTGGATTACAGGCACATGCCACAACGCCCTGTTACCCTTACTCTTCAACCATACCATCTTTTATATCCTGCATCAATAAATTTATTGTTTTTTGATTGGTTGTAGTAGTAGTGGTGGTTATTTTACCTGACTGCTAAGAAAGCATGTTTGTTAGTAAGCAACCAGAGGACCAACAGCTTTAGGTCCTCTCCGAGGGACCTGGTAATGAGGAATAATGCCTTACCAAAGGGAACTAGGGCATCGCCTTGGTTTCGAACCCGGGTCACCGGATTATGAGACCACTGCTCTACCGACTGAGCTATCGCACCTCCTCAAAATATTGAGTGCTCTTCACAGGACCAAAATTTTGTACATGAGTCTATTTCAATAATGCTAACATTTAATTCATCAGTATATGTATCTAACACAAGAAGTAGAGATAAATATCACCTGAGAAAAATTATGTATTATTCTCATTAAAAAATGTTTAACATCATGCTCCAGTTGTCTGGAATAATCTCCCAATTGAAAAACAATCAATCAATTCGTTAATCACATGTACAAGAAAATTGAAGAAATTTCTATGAACATCTGAATAAGTTTTAGTCATATTTGTTTTTAATACACTGTTTATATATACTGTAATTTGTATCCTCTGTAGCCTCTGTGTAGATATCTTTTTGTGTGTATAGTAACGTTATATTTACATGTACACCCAATTCTTTTTGTGAATTACAATCGTGTCCAACACGTGTTGTAATACACTTCATTTATGATTTGTTTGGTTGGCCAAAAAACCCACTTGTTTTTTGTATAGCCATCCTAATTACCCATTATAATGTGTTATGGGTTGTTTTTAAGTTTGTTATAATTTGTAATGTATCATACTGTAAAATTTTTTACACCCATATATATATATATGTATTTTTAAAGTGTTGCTGAAATTGAATTAAACAAATTGAAATTGAATATGCCAAGATGAGAGTTGTGCATTGTGTTAATGTATTGTTTTGAAGGTTTTTTTGTTGTTAGTTTTGTTTCTAAATGTATTTTGCTGCTTCAAATAGCTCATATCTTATCTAGTGTACGAAATACAAAAACGTGAAGTACTAGTTGGGTAAGCTTGAGTAAGCGCACAAAAATGCTGTGGTTATATAATACATATATGAACAAGCTGTAAGAATTTCTTTAACCATGCATGTTCCTCTGGAAAAGCAATTTAATTTCTAGAATCAAACTTAAAATTAGCTTGAAATCATAAATCACTTACATCTGAAATAGCTTTCTCAGCATCGTCATCCTGAGATGTCACTGGAGTAGTTTCATTGACGACTGACGTTAAAGTGCTAAAGGCAGCTTCCATGATGTTCGACAGTCCAACCATGATGAAACTAGGTGGAAGAAAATGTATCAGAGATAATATGTCTTTTTTCAAAGGCCCCCCCCCCCCCACTGTTATTTAGAGTACGTATATGCATGTTCCCTCCCTTTGAAAGCACCCCCCTAAGTCTGGTGTGTAAAGTCAATGCGGGCTGATTTGACGAGACAACCACCTGTCAGTGACCATGCAGGGAAGTCTAATAACCTCCTGGCCAAACTAGTGCAGATAAGCTAAGTTTACAATGTAAGAACCTTTTTTTCTTCAACAATGAACTCATATCAACAAATTTAAATTCTGTAGATTTATGTCGTCCCTTGAGATCATTGGTGAGAGCAACCATGAACTTCAATAGTTCACATCCAATTTAAGTTGGACGTGAACTATGGTAGGCCATCCATGCCACTGGATGCTCTAACCATTGGTCTCTCAAGGAACGTGCAAGTCGTCACAAATCTACACGAGTGAAATTTTTTGATAGCGCAAGAAGAAAAAACATTACTTAGTTTTAAGTTCTACTTAAGGATTTGGACTTATACTATGGTAGGTAGGTCATGCCCCTATAAAGTTCTGAACCAGATGTCAGGAAAAATACCCAAGAAATGATGATCTGAAGATAATTTTTGTTTTTCCACAATGCGAAACAAATTCACTGAGCTGTGCTGTTCTGCCTACCTTGCTGTTTCTTCTACTGTGTCTCCTCCAGTGTGCCCACTGCCACTCTCTTCCTTCAGGAAATGACACATCTCTTGATAGCTCTTTGCAGCTGATTTCTGTAAAGAAAAAGGTCATTTTTTGTAATGTAATCAAATACAATGCACAAGTTCTTTCATTCCTTTTTTTTCTTCTGTCTTCCTGTTGTACCACTTAATTTATATTCAATTACTTATATAGTTTGGGGACAAGCCTTTGATATGCCTTTGGCCTTTGTTTGTCCCCCTACATTTTGATCCTTCTGTTCTGTTGTGTTATTTGTTTGAAATGACTTTGTATTGTAAATGTTTGTTATTGTGATTTAATTTTATCAGAATGTGAAAATAAAATAATTAAAAATAATTAAATTGAATTTGTTACGAATAATTGTATTTCAATAGTCAGAATGCACTACGTGTTGTAAGGTTGGGCAAGCCATTATGTATGCAATTCACGTTCTGACTACTAAAATATAATTATTCGTAGAATGGTCTATTGTAATATAAATGATATATGTCATTACAATCATGAAAGTTCATCTGTAAATGGGGATAAATATGTTTGAGAGTTTAACTTTTGATTTCAATACAATCGAGTGTCATCAAATCAGGCATAAAATGCAGTAGACAACAAAGACAGAGACTAGAAAACTTGTTATCATGATAGTTTGTTACAACAGTGTTCTTTCAGTGTACTTGTTGAAATTGTATATCTGGGCAATTTTTGGACACATTACCATGCGGCTCCACATCAACATATAGTTAAATATACTTTTGTCTTCTTAAGTGTAAAATATAAGGAAAGCTAAAAGAGTCATACAATACCTGTATTTTAAACATAGTTTCAAAACTGCACGAGCATTTTCTTTTGTTTAAATGATGTATCACTCAAAATGCATTGTTTGGTCCATACAACTACACTTATCAGTGTTTTACAGACGTAAGGTATAACTTAATATTTGTTTTGCTATCCTTCCAAATAGTTATCATGCAATGGACTGGTGTATTTCACTCCTTTCTGTCTAACATTTGTATTTTATTGAAACTCATGGTCAAACAACTTGTGTATGTGTCATAGTTCTTTCTTTTTTTTCTTCAAGTTTTAGCTGTGAATTACAATTTACATCATCATGAAGGGGGGAAAAAAAAAAATTGTTTTAGGCATATAGATTTCAGCAAAATATTTGTTTTCATCCAATTTAAGCTGCTATCCTACTATACCTAATGTGAGAATTAGTCTGTCAATTTGTAAAATAAATTTTACGGGCCATTTTCTGAGTACATTTTCTGAAGTGCAGCAATATTTGATTAGCATTTGCTAACTGTATAACCAGGAAGATTTGCTTAATTACATGAAACTCAAAAGGCAGCCATGCATATCAGGTTCTGAAAGTTTTTGGTATTAGAGTAGTCACTGAGGACTTCAACATTTGCATTGTAGTTACATATTCTTTCATATTCAAACTAATATTCATAGTTACATTCCTATCCATACTTATATTCATCCTAATATTCATTCATATTCATATCAATATTTATATCTATGTGTGTATAATGTCTGCTGAGAGCCAGAAGGCTACTTTTGAGGTGTATGGGATAATGCCTTTTTGGTTTTCAGAAAACAACATTGGCCTCACTTGAGCTGTAGCAGAAATTTCATCTTTCTCTTGAGTGACTTGGGCAATCACAGCCGAGGTCTGTTGTAGCGTTTCCATGTCTCGGACTTCTATGTGACCGATGTTGGCAATGATGGACTCTCTAGCCTGGAAAAAGTATGGTTTGAAAAACAACATGAGGGTACGAAAACTAACTTACTAGAATGGTTGATAATTAATGGCTGCATTACAGTATCTTGATGGCAATTCATAGAGTATCTTCAACTACTAGTACATTTACCACATAAATTTTCTTTCTATGGCATTCTAATTGAAAAGATCTGTTAAGGTAATACAGTCAGACAGGCTGTGATGTTTTTCAAATAATTATTTCTATGTACACACTCCAAATATCTCCTGTGTTTAATAGCTTTGGTACATGATTGGGCATAGCATAGGTTCCAGGAGATATCTAGTACTGCTTCAATGTCTTTACATTGTTTGAAAGTATATGTACAAAAACATCTACTTGAATCAACTGTGAAAATCTATCTTCAATTCTCGATACAATTGATTTTATCTTACAATTAATTGATCTATTTGTGAAATAAAACTAATTAAGGTTAAGTTGCAAATGGTTGTAAAGATGAGATTGATTTAAGGAGATATCATTGATTTGGGTGAGATACATTGTAAACCCAACAATGTTACACGGCCCAGGTATACCGAATGCTAAACTTAGAGCTGCCAACCTTGTGTGACCAAAAAAAGGAACCTTGATGGAAAAATAGGAATTTCAAGCAAAAAAAAAAGGAATTCATTAAAACAAAACTTACAACAAGCGTGACACATTTCCAATGCAGAAATGTCCATTCCTCATGCTGTTCTTCCATATTAGGACCTAGAGTTTATTTACAAGTAGGTATTTTTTTCTTCTTATTATCGGCATTTCATTCTTTTTGAGAATAATTTTCTCAATATGTTTTAACCTTAGTTTTCTACTAAATTTGTGATCAAATCAACTTTTTAGGGCAATTGTTTGACATGCGGTATGTAAAAAAAAAAAGAAAAAAAAAAAGGTTTTTAAAAAACATGTACCGGTATTTATGAAGAAAACCGTACTACCGTAATTAGGAGGGAAAAGCGGAATCATTCCGAGAATAAAGTTATGGTTGGCAGCTCTGTAAACTGGCGGGAAGGGAGGAGTGGGTCAAATATGTTTAAATACTTCTGCTCTCTTTGTCTTCTTTTCTTCCATGAATTCACTCTCCTCCTCCTGCTCCTCCTCCGTGGCAGCCTCTGCTTGATCAAAGTCACTCTCAGCGTCTGCGTTGAGCAGGGATGTGAGCGTAAACACCAACTGGGTTGCGCTCTGGGTGTCTCCAGATTCTAGCAGTTTTGAGAGGGGGTTTTCTTCACCAGAGGAAAACTCAAGGACAGTGTCTGTTACAGTTTTGTCTGGTTGGCTGGTGTCCACTTCTGCTTCTCTTACCTGCATTTTCACGCAATCAACCACACAAATGATTGGATTCATGATTCAGATTCAAAATATATACTAGATGATATTTCATTGCAGTTACTCTTTTCTCAAACTGAATTTTGCATACAAATATTGATTCAAGCAGAAACACATGTTAAAACTCTTTGATTTGTTAGCCTTCATCCAACAAATTTCAATTATGTAATTAAAGGGATAGTCAAGTTCTTGTTTAAGACTGCATATGCTTTTAATGTGCATGAATATTGCTCATATTTTTGTTTATGACATTTCTAGTGCATTTTTAGAACCTAAATTTGCTATGAGGGTAATTTTAGGCCCCAAAATGTGTGAATGTAGATTAGATACTAATCTCTATAAACATATACAGCACAGATAATAATCATATTTTCATAAAAACTTACTGACCATTTTCATCCAGTTATTTAATTTTAATTGAGGTCACAGTGAATATTCAAGTACAATTTTTTTTTTTAAAGCAAGTGATACCTTCACAGCAGTTGAAGTTTTGATGCTGGCCCCATAGGTATCAGACACCGTAATGATAATGTCCACTTGGTGATCACAATGACTTGCTATGCCAACAGGTAGGAAGGTAGGGGGGATATGTGGATCCACACCAAAATATATCAGGGTACCTAAAGTTTGGAGTTGATTCGATATTTAAAATGTATATAGTTTATAGAACAATGCCATAACAAATTCAAGGGTCATGCAAACATTTCACTGTTTACCCCTCTCATCAATTTTACCAGACAAATGAGCACTGTGACTTCATACTTCACTTCAAGCTTACTATGAGTTTACTCCAATGATACACCTAGTGATTGCATTTACTAGATGAAGAAAAGAGAGATAGATTTTCATTTTTCAACCAATAGATCAAATCTTGTTCTAACAATCTTCTTGGATCCAAGATAAATACCTAGTTACATTGAAATCTTGTTATATCAGAGCTAAAGAATGATTGAAGACAAAGAAATAAGACAATCAAAACGAATAGGTATATACATATATAAATATTGGAAGTTGTTTTCATAGTTTTCCTAGTAACAAGACTCACTGTATAACTAACCAAATGTGAGCTCTCTGGAGGAAATTAGTAATTTAAGTGGGCAGTGTTTTACGACAGGGATGATAGAAATACAACATCTATATTCTTTCCACACCTTTTGTTACTCTATTGCCAGTGATGCATGTTACTGTAAAGAAACTTATACCTTGAAAAAGCAGAATAAATTTGGTATTATTCAACTACAGGTACATGTACTTCATTGTTGATTTTTAGTTAGGCTCTTATCCACATATTCCTGTTGAAATAAATCTACACAAATCTTTTTGTTTTGTGCAAGGCATGAATCAGAGGCGACAGTAAGCATTAAAAAAAGGGGGGGGGGGGTTCCCCCTCAACCACGCCCCCCTTGAGTAAAGAAAAAAAAGAAGAGGATTCGGGGGGGGGGGGGAATGGCATCTAACAACATTCCCCCCTTTTGAGTAAGAAAATTGGGGGAAAATAGGGAAAAATAGGGGAAAATAGGGGGTAAATCAGAAAGAAAAAAAAAATTGGGTAATTTTTTTTTTTTAAATCGGAAATTAAAAAAATAAAAAACCTGATTTAAATCAGGTAATTATCAGGCCTGATGATTGCTTGGTCAGAACTTTGTGCAGCGATATTAATAGCTTTTGTACCTGATGTTGAAGAGTCATGGAAGGAGCTGATACCAGTTTTCTTCTCCGAACCCGTCAACGCTCTGACCTCATAGCTCAGTGGTTCATCCTCGTCCACAAATCCCTGACAGATGATTGTGAAATGAGTCTCCAGAACCACCCCTTCATCGGGTGTTGCACTGCAGGTTCCAAGCCGAGGAGGAGAATTGGTCGAGAAGGCATATTCTGCAAAGGTCTTGGCGCCGCTCCAACTGAAGACTGATTACAACAATAGGAAAGCAATGGATTTAAAATTAAAGCCAGTGTAATCAATGTTGGCATGTTATATTTGTTATACTGTAAAGATATTAGTACAAAATGCAAATCATTTAAAAGCAGTGTATACAATAAACATATTAGTACCCGCCCATTGACAATTCACAAATTCTGGGCTGATACAAAAAAGATGCTACAAACTAAATTCTCATCGTTTTCAATTTTGTTGTTATTAATTATTAATACCCTCACCATTTATGACAAAAGAAATAAGAATCACATTCACAATATTCACACTAGCTACAAAGATATCAATCTTATTTGAAAGTTTAAATTTTGAATGAATATAAATACAGAGGTTTTGCACTGGGGTCATAATTCGATTTAGCAGGATGTAAGATATCAACCCTAAAACTTCACATCAATTCACGATGCAACATCACACACAAAATACTTTAATTACCAAGGACTTTCAAGGTGTACTCCTCAGACCCTTGGAAGGTAAAAGCACGAATTGCAAGATAGGCGTTGGTCCTACTGGTGGTGGTGTCCTGGTTCCAGATTAGAAACTGCTTGCTATTGTTTAGAAAGGCTGGGATCAGAGACCAGACATACCGGGGTCTCGTCTGCAGGGTACAGTCATCGCAATTGGCAGAGATGACGAACCGCTCAGATGGATTGAGACTGAAACCACAGTTTGTCATGCACCTGCAGAGACAATGATGAAAATCAATAGGTTGAAAACATAGTTCATTATGATATTACATGATGGACATGTAAAGGAAATGCCCAAAATCCAAATGCTCTGATTACAATAAGCCAGTTCACGGTTGCAGTCTGAGCATGAGTAGATAAAGGTCATTGCAGAACAAATTGTGAAATACACAGAGACAAAATACTGGATACGTGCTCATGAAAGTTATGTAATCATTATTCATTTATGCACAAGCAGTGCACTCCATGATACACAGGTGGATATATGCTTTGAAAAGGGGAAACAAAGGCTATTATGTAGAACCTGCATCGCTGTAGGAGTGATTATTTCAGAATATACAAAGTGGGACCTTTTCATGTTTTAAAGATCTGTGGATATTCGGGGTCATTTGGGATATGTGCTAACCGTGAACTGGTCTATTCTCAACTTGCAAAGGAGACCAATACTGCACACTTGTCTTGCTACGCGGTTGGAAAGGTGTCTAAACTCTTATACTCACTTTATTAGAATAGTAGGAGGGTCCCCTGGTAGGATAGGAATGGTTTGCTCAGCCTGAGCAGTCCCTCTGCCTTGCTTGGATACCACGAGTCTAAAGACATGGGTCTGGTTCCCTTCAAGGGTTTGTCCTGCAATGGTCATTGTTGTCTGGTTGCCTGATTGCATTAAGAATCCTTCATGGAGACATCCATCATCACCTGGTAACAAATAGTGTAACATTAACATTTTACAAGCTTTGGTATGGTCAAAGAGATTTCATTCCCATACAACTAAGCTGCTAAAAATTCAAAAGGGCTGCAAGAATAATATTGAACAAGACATATATGACACGCCATCGGCTGATTTGTTCACAAGTCTTTGGTGGATGACACTAGACAAACGGTTTGAGTTAAGTCGCATTATGATGATATATAAATGCATGCATAATTAAGCACCTTCTTACCTTCAGGTAGGCTTAATCAATCCTAATGATGTACATGAGCATCATACAAGGCAAGTACACAGTGGATAGTTACGTGTGCCCCAGTGGCGTACCTGGGGTACTCCGTCAGGGGGGGGCAAGCGACCGAAACAAACAAAAAAGGCGATGCTAATTTTCACTTCTGGCGAGCGAGCGAGCGAGCAAAAAAAAATCTTTAAGTAACGTTTGGTATATAAACTGGTATTGTTGCAAGTTGGGGGTGGGAACATTCACTTGTTAGCGACGTTAATTTCATTTTTTTGCAAACTAGTGTAGCGAGCAAGAAAAAAATCACTTCTTTTTTAATAATTGCCACTTAAACTTGGTTCAATTGTCCCATGCAGGGCGCGGGAACAATATTGTGTTTAGGGTGATTTTATACCCATTTTAGCTAGCGAGCGAAAATACATCTTTCTCTCAATGAATTGCTATATAAAATTTGTTTCATTGTTGCAGGTAGGGGGCGGGCACAATCGTGTTTAAGGCAATGTCAATCCCATTTTGGCGGGCAGGCAACCCCCTACATTTCTCTTTTTAATGATATTGTAGCAGGTTAGTGGTGGGCACATAATTCCACGAGCTAGTGAGCGAAAAAAAAATCACTTTTCTTTTATAGGGAAAATATGGTACATAAAACTTGGGTTCATTGTTCCATGTCAGGGACGTGATTATTAAAAGCGGTGTTAATTCTATTTTGGCGAGCGAGCGTAGCGAGCGAGCAAAAAAAAATCACTTCTCTTTATAGGGAAAATATGGTATATAAACTTGGTTTAATTGTTCCATGTCAGGGACGTGATTATTAAAAGCGGTGTTATTTATATTTTGGCGAGCGAGCGTAGCGAGCGAGCAAAATTTTTGTAATGATAATTGGTTCATAAATTTCAGATTTTTTTGTTGCAGGGCAGGGCTTACACAATCATGTCTAAGGTGATGTTAATTCCGTTTTGGCGAGCACGAGCACACCAAAACTTCTTTGAATAACGTTTCGTACATAATTATTAACTGGTTGTTGCAGGTTGGGGCGGGCACGTTAGCGGTGTCAATTCCATTTTGGCGAGCGAGCATAGCGAGCAAGCAAAAAAAATAAATTCTCTTTTAATAGAAATGAATAAATAAACTTGTTTTTATTGGTGCAGGTCAGGATGGATGCAATCGCGTTATTCCTTTTTGGCGAGAGGGCAAAAAAACTCTTCCATTTTTAATGATATTGTTGCAGGTCAAGGGTGGGCACAATTGTTTCCAAAGCAATGTCTATTCATTTTATTCGCGAGCGAGTGTAGCGAGCGAGAAAAATGAATTAGTCTCTTTTAGTAACATTTGGTACATATATTGTGTGTTATTGTTGCCATGGTTGCAGGTCGGGGCCCGTCGGGGCAGGCACAATTGTATTCTAGGCAATACTAATCCTTTTCTTTTTTCAGGGGGACGAGGAAGTGAAAACATTTAATACAAAATAGGCTAGCAAGCAGTTCGCGCCAGCGAAGAGTTTCAAATTTGTTATATCACTTATATTTTCCTATTTTCATTTGTTTTAATTTTTCAGGGCCGTATGCGGAATATTTTTCTGATGGGGGAAGGGGGAAAGATGCGTTAAAAGTTTTCGAAGAATCTCAAAAGCAAAAGGAGTGAAGGGAGTTCGAGCGACCGAACTGGTCATGAGGGTACTTTTGCATTTTCAAAAGTAGAATTGAAGGATTTGGTATAGGCCTACACTACATTTTCAGGAAAAAAAACTGTACGATTTCAAAATATCTGGGGTCAACTGCCCCCCCCCCCCCCCCCCCCCCCCGGTGCTTACGGCCATGTTCTTTATTTTTTTTCTCCCATTTTTATTCCTTTCCTTTTCTTTTCCCTTTTTCTTCCTTTTCTCTTCTTCCTTTTTTCTTTCCTTTTTTTCCTTTTTTCTCTTTCTTTCCTTTTTTCTTTCCTTTTCCTTTTTTCTTTTTCTTTCCTTTCCCTTTCTTTTCTTTTCTTTCCCCTTTTTCTTTTTTTCCCCTGGAGCCCGTCAGGGGGGCACTCTGCCCCCCCCTGCCCCCCCCCCCCCATAGGTACGCCAGTGGTGTGCCCAGATTTTACACTGATTGTTATAAGCCCAATTGTTTCTTCTATATTTTAATGGAATAAGCTATAAATTTTGATGAGAACGGCTTCCTCTGTCAATCCATTTAAGAGATTTTTTAAACACAGTTGTAATTTGTGAATAGCTCAGCCGAATATACACTACATGTACGTGCATATTCTGCAATATTAACATGATTTATTCACATAATTGCGAGTTAATTAATATTTTCCTATTGGCATTACAGTTGAACTAGGTTACTGATATATGATTATTTTGCAAACGAGCATTCCTTTGTGCCACATTTTTTATTGCTGTGTTCTATCTTTTTAAATGTACTAAGGAATTATATTTCAACTGTTCTGTATAAACGTTATGCTTTTTGATGTAAATATGTAAGGGCCCCATGGAAGACCACTACATTTTGGTGAATGGGCTACCCTGACAAAAGATTTGAAATAAATAAATAAATATGACAAATCAGAGACTGCGACAGTCTGTATTGTTATACGTTCAGTGTACGTAGGTAAACACTATACATACTATTACAAATAATATGGCAGACTACGGTATCAATCCATGATGAGTAAAGAGGGGTTTTTTTTAAATGATAAAATTTTGCTATAGCCCCCCTATATACATGTCGATACCTATTATATTTTAACTGGTGCACAGTGTATTTTGTATTAACTATATCTTTATTTAAATTTTTCGAAAAAGCTTAAAAATTACAGCTCCTCACAAGCACAAACATGTATGTGACAAACATAACACAATGAACCTCAAAGGTTACAGGTTACCTTAAATTCATGCTAAATTCCATGTTTATGCATAATTAGTTACTAAACCCCGCAGTATACTAGGGTACATGTTATCAAAAGCTACTTCATCAATAAAAAAGCCTGTTTTAAAAGAAATTGTATGCTACTATCCAGAGCAGATGTGAACATACAGCATAGAAAACAATACGTATGGTAACCTGTATATAAGCGTATTTACACAAATTTTTGAAGGAGTGTAGAAATTATGGATCTAATACAATGCAATAACTAGCATTATCGTTAAACAAAAAAGGGAAGAGGGGGGGGGGGGGTTAAGATGTTAATTAGCTTAATAACCACATACATGTAAGTGGCACCTGTATACATGTACATGTATATCTCAATTGTCTAAATGTTTGTGACGGCAGCGCCGAACAGGCAGCAGCACTTTTGTTTGAGCTCTCTACTAGTGAATGATATTATTGGACTTAGCTGACCAATTGGTGAATTATTTGTTTCAATCGTCTTGTGAACACACATAGCATCTTTTGGACAAGTTTGAGACAAGTTTGGTATGTTTTGATGATGTGTTTCAATGACAACGATATCTTGTTTCATTAGACTTATTTCATGTAGCATCCATTGTACTACACACTATCGCACTACACCATTGCAACCCGGTCTGTTGACTCAACCGTGTTGTTACCTGTTTAAGGAATGAAGCAGACAATGAACTTACCGTATTTGAATAGCATGCTTCATTGGAATTTTATTCATCATGCTGAAGCTAACTGTACATGTACATTCAACAGAACATGACTTTGTAAGAATCGTACTGTACAACACTCGAGTCCCTCCTCTGAAGGGAAAAAGCCTGCACCATCTAAAGTATCTACATGCAAACATCTACTACAACAACCATGCGTCTACATTTAACATCGAACTCCTTAAATGCGGGGACATACAACCCAACCCGGGCCCAGCTAACGAAGAGCAAAAAAAACAGCCAAACAGTTTTGAAATACTCTGTTTCAGAACTCTACAAACTACGCCAAGGGTGTTCTAATAAACTAGTTCCACCAACTTCATGGAAAGTTATAAAGGACCTCAGGATTTCTTCAGGTGTTTTACGTCATAGAGGAAAACGTGCTGGATCCAGGAAACGCAATAAAGCCCAAGCTATACCAGTGCTCACCCGACCACGCCCACAATCACCGTTTCTTCCCAGGAATATGCCGAGATGTTTGACTACCACTAAATCGAATCGATGTCTGAACCGGCCCAGTCGCGGTTATGATACCCCAACCCTACTTTTACATAACGCCAGATCGTTGAGGAACAAGTTCGACGAATTATCCCTAATCATCGAAGAACATAAAGTGGACATAGCAGCCATCACCGAAACGTGGTTCAGCTCCGATATACACTAGATATGTATGCATTATCAGAGGTTACCTTACATTCAAGATCCAGAGAAGATCGACCAGGAGGAGGAGTTGCACTCTACACGAGACATCACCACAGCGTCCCATACGTCACGCAGCACATTAATTACATTAAAAATTAATTAAAAAATTGGTCAAAACTAAAACTTTCCACAAATGAACTAGCCCATAATAGCCACAGACTCATACCAAAAGATAGCCATATAAATAATTTCATCTGTTGTTATTTCTTGTTTAAAGTCTCTAAATGTCCCGTACGTCACAATCCAAATAGCTTGGACCTGCCCTAGAGCAAAGGGCCTGCTTGCTCATCCTTTGACCCACTCTTGTGTCACCTCACAAAATATATTTTAAACGTGACTTAATTTGCCTGTTATTGCCTTAGTCATATTAGTTATGAACTTTGTTATGAATTTTGTTATATACTGTATATTATACTTTGTGACAATGTCAACCACATTTGTATGTATTG